TTTCTTGGGATTGATTATTAAAATATGTCCACAGATTCAGGAGATAGAACAAATAAACACACTCTCCCACAAACAGATGTAGGTAATTACTGGACCACCCACCTTTCACAGTAGCAGGCAAGCTATTTCCAACGTGGCCTATCTTCTTCTTTTACATCAATGACAACGACAAATGACTTAGTTAAGTCCAAACCTCTGTTCCTGCCCACCTAAAAATGGCTTTGTCACCAGCAAGGTAATAAATTAGGTTGTTCTTGCGAATCTCACAAAAATCATCAGTCTCTTGTAATGTTCTTTTCAGTATCTGTAAACACATTGAAATGAGATTCTGTACTGCCTACTGGGAAAAACTGTTTCGAAACAGGTCTGTAAACGACACATTAACTAATAGATGGTCTTAAATGAAAAATCAGAGCCTGTAGGAGCACTAATTAAAACAGACAAACAGGAATAGATGAGACAAACAATTTTCACTAGTTTGTTTCTTGTTGTAGGCAGGACTGACCTTCCTCCAGCCTTGACAAAATGTTAAAATGTTTTGCTCAAACTGTCATGGTTACCAGAAAATGTGGTCTTTCACAGCTTGTGAAGCAACCAGCTCTTCAGCTTTACAGTCTGCAGTCTTTTCTTGGTGCAGCTCAACACCAAGGGCAACAAATGTGATACATTTACAGGTACATTTGTCACGACAAAATAAAATGCTTGCATAAATTTCTACCCTAAAGTTCTGTTTTGTTTGTCTTGTAAATGGTTTGTTTATATTAATGGTTCATTCTCATATTTATCCGACCATTCATTATCTTGACATTACCTGCTTCTTCATATAGGGTTGCTAGGGTCACTGGTGCCCATATCCAGTAGTCACTGTACAAGAGGCAGGGGACACCCCTGGACAGATTGCAAGTCCATCACAGGGACACATAGAGACAAATGAGACAAACAGCCATTCAAGTTCAAGTTCAAGTATCTTTATTGTCATTCGCATCACATGTGATACATGAGCGGGAACGATATTGTCAGAGAGTTTTTGACTCAAATATTCAATGGCATATTTGAGGGTGAGAAAATTCCTCAGGAATGGAGGAGAAGTGTGCTGGTGTCCATTTTTAAGAACAAAGGTGGTGTACAGAGTTGTAGCAACTACAGGGGAATTAAGTTGATGAGCCACACGATGAAGAGAGATCTGGGAGAGAGATGTGGAAGCTAGACTTAGATGAGAGGTGACAATTTGTGAGCAGCAGTATGGTTTCATGCCGAGGATGCTGATGGAGAAGTACCGAGGGGGTCAGAAAGAACTTCATTGTGTCTTTGTGGATTTAGAAAAAGCATATGACAGAGTGCTGATGGAGGAGGTGTGGTATTGCATGAGGAAATCTGGAGTGGCAGAAAATTATGTTAGACTGGTACAGGACATGTATGAGGACAGCAGGACAGTGGTGAGATGTTCTGTAGGAGTGACAGATAGCTTCAAGGTGGAGGTGGAATTGCATCAAGGATCAGCTCTGAGCCCCTTCTTGTTTGCTCTGGTGATGGACCGACTAACAGATGAGTTCAGGCAAGAATCTCTGTGGACTATGTTGTTTGCAGATGACAATGTGATCTGTGGTGAGAACAGGGAACAGGTGGAAGAGAACTTGGAGAGGTGGAGGTATGCACTTGAAAGAAGAGGAATGAAAGTCAGCCGTAGTAAGACAGAGTACATGTGTGAATGAGAGGGAGACTGGCGGAACAGTGAGGCTACAAGGAGCAGAGGTCACAAAGGTGCAGGACTTCAAGTTCTTGGGGTCCACTGTCCAGGAAAATGGGGAGTGTGGTAAAGAGATGGAAAGGAGAGTCCAGGCAGGATGGAGTGGATGGAGAAAAGTTTCAGGAGTGATTTGTGACAAAATTGCGTCATCAAAGGTTAAAGGAAAAATTTACAAGACAGTGGTGAGACCAACTATGTTGTATGGTCTGGAGACATTGAAACTGACAAAAAGACAGGAGAAAGAACTGGAAGTGGCAGAAATGAAGATGTTGAGGTTCTCCTTAGGAGTGACAAGGATGGATAAGATTAGGAATGAGATCATCAGAGGTCCAGCACAGGTTGAACAATTGGGAGATAAAGTTAGAGAGGCCTGACTGAGATGGTTTGGACATGTCCAGAGGAGGGACAGTGGGTATACTGGTAGAAGGATGTTAGAAATGCAGCTGCCAGGAAAAAGACAAAGAGGAGATATATATGGATGCAGTTAGAGGACATGGAGGTAGTTGGAGGGAGAACAGAGGATGGAGAGGACATAGTGAGATGGAGGAGGATGACTCACTGTGGTGACCCCTGAAGAGGGAAAAGCCAAAAGAAGAAGAAGAATGGACACAATCAGATTGTCCAGATTTATCATTCTTGACATTTGCTGGATTGCTCATTGGGTGCAGATATGGTCATGGGCTACTTTGATAGATGTAGAGCAAACAAGATCTAGGATGTATTTTTGATGATAAACAGGAGGATTTTTATGTCATATTTTCTTATGCACCTGTCTAATATTTCAATAAGTTTGTGCTGCTGCTCATCCTTTTGACACCTCTATAACATATTCAGACAGTGTTAGACTAAAAAAAGCAATGACTCTTTCAACACATTTACTGTTTTCCATAAAGCTGTAAACACACGCTCCACCCTGTTAAGTAAAATGTAATTCACTCTTACACAGCGTTGTTTTAAGGTCATATATGTCATTTTGAAAATGATTAAAAACCTGCAGTTCCGCCCAGCTCATAATTCTAGTAAACTGAATGTTCAGACGCTCCTTGAACAACCTCCTGACCTCAGCATGATTCAGATATTCAGTTTCTACAGGTAACTGATTATATTTTATGTTTATTCCCTTTATATCATTAGATGTTCATTATTCATACCACTACACTTATTTTCCTTTTGTTCTTATCAAACATGAATATATATTTTTGGAGTAGAGCAGAATGTAAGTAGTAGACTACAGTTAAAGCAAAAAAAATCAGGGAGGAATTATTATAGTCGTTTTAATACCTAGTCACTCATATCTAGCAGACATTTTCTTTTTGTTGATTTCAGGCTGCATTCTGCTCTCTGATCCATAAAACAATTGGCCTAGAATTTGATTTTTTTTTAGGCTTTTTTTTTTATTGTTTCTTGATAGAGACTTCAGATATCCTTAAACAACTCAGAATCACATCTTTTGGGACACATTTTAGGACAGTGGTTCCAAAAGTTGGGATCAGAACCTCAGTGTGGGTCATGAAACATCATGTGAGGGTCCTCAGATAATCTCCTTCAATTAAATGTTGAGGGATTCCTAATCACTTATTTTCATTCTAATTTTTAACAATGAACAAATTCAATAATCATAAATTCTTTAAAAAAAAACACCAGTTGTTTGTACTTACTGGTTGTATTATATTATTATTCCAATGTTTAACATGGGAATTAGCAAAAACTGTAAACTTAACCCAGTGACTGTTGATTAATGGATCTGAAGGTGAGGAGTTTGTAAATCACCATCTTAGAGCATTTTCTTTTTTTTTCACTTTAGATATCTAAAGTTTATCCCCATGTCAATCCATGTGTCATTGTTTGAAGATTGCTGAACTTTTCTTTGCATTCACTTTCATCCAATATTTATGATAACAGAAATACACTCGATTTAGCTAAACATGGAAGTATTATTTTACTATGGCTTATTATCCTGGATGCACTTTGAACTAGAATCTGTGGCTCCAGTTTACTGTAATAATGCATGCCAGTCAAAAATAAATAAATAAATAAAAAGTCTTCTGGCAGTTTTAGTTTTCTTGTCAGGACTGTGAACACATACTTGTTCATATTTGAGGTTTCCAGCATGGTGGCTTAGTTGGTAGAGCTGTTGCACTCAGTGAGAAGGTTGCTGGGTCAAATCCTGGCCAGGGGCCTTTCTGGGTGGAGTTTGCATGTTCTTTTTGTGCATGCGTGAGTTTTCTCTGGGTACTCCGGTTTCCTCCCACAGACCAAAAACATGCATGTGTTAGTAACTCTAAACTGTCCGTGAGTGAGAGTGTGAATGGTTGTTTGTCTCTTCGTGATCCTGTGATGGTCTGGAGACCTGTCCAAGGTGTCCCCCACCCTGGACATGGACATCAGTGACCCCCATGACCCGAAAAGGAAGAAGCAGGTAAAGATAATGGATGAATAGATGGATATTTAAATAAAAACATTTTATTTAGCACAAATGAAACACAATATTTTTCACATTTTGGATTATTTCCAAAAGCACAACAAATACATCACTTTGAGAACAAATAAAAAAACATACATTTGTTCATTTCTCTCTGAAATAAAACAAAGTGCATCAACAAAGTATCTGCATAATGTACTTCACATATTAAAACAAGCAGGCAGCAGCTGTGAAAAAGATAAATAAATTAAATGTTCTTGTTTTATAATATAGTGCATGACTTCATGCCTTTGTCCGACAGTCTTTTCCTGCGTGTTCACTGTTTCACAGTGCAGCATCTTCTACTAACAGCACTCACATTTCAAGTAAACCTGCAAAACTGCAGAGATGAAGTCCAGCATTCAGTGCAATAAAATGATGAAATGCTGACATCTTGTTGAATCCTTATCCTTAATATTTTGAATGTCAAAATACAGTAATCCCAACAAACATTAAAACAAATACATGAACATAAATGATCTCTATGATGAGGATTGCTGTTTGTGTAAATATATATTAAAAATAAAAAGTCACATCAGAACATTTAATAAAGACAAGCTTGAGAAGTGCAGAGTTCTCAAAAACCTCAGTAAAGTTTCAAAAGTGCAAAAATATTCCTCTCATATTAAAGGTCCTCGTGATGATATTCTCAATCAGTATAACAGTTTTAAATCTTCTCAGTTTGTGGAGACAAAATAAATACAGAAACATAAATAACACAAGTTTCTAATAAATTATCCTCAGTCGTCAGCTCTCCAGTTCAAATAAATTAATTTTCTTGGCTCTTCAAATCTACACACTCAGCGTGTATGTCTGGGAGCGTTTTCGACACAACCTGCGGAACCAAGCCCAGTAGAGGAACATCATGAGCAGCCAGTAGCACAAATAGGCTGCACAACCGAACACAAGAAACTGAGTCTCCAGTACTTTTTCTGGACTGAGCCAATCCTTTTGACTCTCCTTGTAGATTCGGAAACAAAACCCACCCAATAAAACAGCAGCCCATACCGACAGAGGGACGAGGGGGATGTAATTACCTACAATCTTACGCCTGCCTGATGTTCCCCAGCTGCTCTTGTTCATCGTAAGGATGGCAAAGTACTTTGCAGGCAGCAGGCTGGTCATGTAAAGAGAAGAGTACAGCGACATGAACACCATCACCCAGTTTTGGCGCAGGAGGCAGGCATAGGCCGCCTTCACCAGACCGATGAGCTGAATGCAGCAGAGGATCCAAAGGATGTCCCACAGCGTGCCCGTCCAAAACAGCTGGATGATGGTAGCAGTGACAAAGAAAGGAAAAACACCTGAAACAATGGACTCGTAGGTCATCCAGAGGTGGTGCTTGTGCCACCACATGGCGTTGTAGAGCCACTCTCGGAAGTAAGACTTGGTCCAGCGTGTCTGTTGGTTAAGCCAGCGGAGAAACTGAGCAGGAGTTTCCGTGTAGCATTTTGAGCGTGCCGTGTATCTGAAAGACACAAAAAGCACAGCGAATGTTTAAGCCCCGTCATTGTTGGGTTATCGTTTGCTTGCTGAGTCATTTTTGTGAATAACTAGAGGAACTACATTTTCTGTGTGAACTGAACATTGCTGAAGAAGCTGAAGCTGAGTTGTTAAAGAGAAGCTGAAACAAGCATAAGTTAAGCTAAAAGTAGCAAAACTCTGGCTACAAATATCAAGAAGCTAGCTTAAAGCTAAAAGCAGCAAAGGCTAACTAAAAGCTAAAAGACTAATAGACAAGCCACACGTTAAAAAAATGCCAGCTAGCTGCAGCCGAACGCTGCCCAACAATTAAAAGTTGCAAAACTCTGTCTTAAAGCAGCAAAATGGTAACTAACAGCTTAAGTAACAAAACATGTAAAAAGTGGCAAAACATTAGCTAAAAGTAGCAAAAGCCTAGCTAAAAACAATAAAATGCTTGCTAAAAGTAGCAAAAGGTTGTCTACACGCTAAAATAGTAAAAGCTGGATTAAAAAATAAAAGTATCAAAATGGAAGCTAAAAGTAACAAGGCTAGCTAAAAGCTTAGAAAAGCAAAACAGCAGCTAAAAATGTATAAGTAGTATTTGAAGACAGAAAAAGCAAGTATGCAGAAGCAGATTGCAAAGAGACATATTTTTTTTAAAGTTAAATATTTTGGAAAGTATAAAAATGAGAAAAAACAAGTTAGAGCATTCATTTCCTGAATGAGCTGGATATTTTATTATATGATGGCTAAAATGGCACAAAGTACGTCTAAAGAGTCAGTTTGCAAAAACATATATAAAAACATGTGGAAAATTTAAAAAAAAACAGAATAACAGTTTACAGTTTACATGAGTTGGTGCGTACTTTGTGGCGTAGCCCATGCTCAGCATACGGTTGGTGAGATGTCTGTCATCCCCAAACGTGCAGTGAGTTCCTAAAAACTTCTGATTGTACCACGACTCAAGAAACTGCTGAAGAATGTCGTTCCTGTACAGACCTTTGTAGAAAAAACAATAAATTGCAGAAACGTTTATTTACATTGGGAGTTAGACTGATCCTTATGTCAAAGTTTTACTTTTCTTACCCAGAGGCCCACTGATGCAGGACACACAGTTGAAAAAGGACTGGCAGGCCCTTTCGATGTTGAACGCCATCCAGTACCTGAGACTGCTCATGAAGCTGATGTAGGAGTCTTTGAGGTTGAGGATCATCACGTCTCCTCCCACAGCTCCATATCTGGAGTCGCTCTCCAACACCTTGCACAGCTCGACGGTGGCTAAAGTGTCCAGCTTTGTGTCCGAGTCACACACCTGAATGGACCAGAGAAAAGTCTTGTTGTCTGAAGATTCTTTATATTTTATTAAAGAGATACCAAAGAAACCAAATTTGGGAATTTGAGTAAATACCTGAATGAAGTCAACCGATGATCCAAGTGCTTTAAAAGCCGTGTACATCACCTCCCGCTTGCCTCCCCACTTCTGCATGATGCACACACACCTTCTGGTCTGGATCAGGTGCTCCACCTCTTTTCTCTGAGGATCCTCTTGAAAAACATAATCAGCTTCTCCTCCTGGTGCTGTTTCTTCATCTTGCTGGACCTGGATAGGATCCCACGTGTGGTAGTTGTTCCTCCACACGTACAGACCAGGGTCCTCGTCTGCAAACACCTCCTTAAACATGTCCATCATGTATAGGTCATCATCAGAGTTCCCGTCGATCACCATGATGATTCGCAGCAGCTCCGATGGATACTTGAGGGCCTTGACAGAATTGAGGCACTCTCTGAGGTAGATTGGGTCCTCTTGGTATGCAGATATGGTGAAGCCGATAGTTTTAGTACAGCTGCATGGGTCGGTGCGAGCTTTCATTCGACGGTGCTCAATAAAGGCAAAGAGGCTTTGCACCAGCACATGGAGCGAGAGGAGGAGCCCATAAAAGCCGAAGGAGATGATTCCGTACAGGGAGGTAACCAGCTGGAAGCCCGCAACATAAGCCCACAGCATGACCCCCAGAACCAGCAGAGCAAACAGGAAGGTGAGGATGGCACGAGCTATCGAGCCCAGCTTCTTCAAGGAATGTTTCAGCTTCATTATCACCTTAGGAAAAACACAGCATGAGTTAGCATGACAGAACTACATGCATGCAAAAAGAAATATTTGGCGCTTTTACAGTAAAAATCAATATCTGATGTATTTGTAGCAAAGAATCGCCTCTGATAACGTTAGAAAAACTTTGAGAGGTGGACATATAGTTTTACTCAGCTGGTAAATGCAGATAGGATGCAGGTATCTGTGCATACAACACATGCAGACAAAGACAATTTAACACAAATAACACAATATTTTTATATTATTTATGCCATTTGTTTGCATGATAAAAAAAAAAAACTTGTTGGGTTAAGTAGCTGTAATGACTCTCAGCTACTCCCACACCGCCTCTCACAGCAGCAGGAGGTAATATTTCTGCACACGCATTCCTTATATTTTATAAATATTCATTTAATATTATATTATTTATTATTTATTTATATACTCGATATTTATGTACTCCGCTACTGTTTCCTGGAATATCTTGTAAAAAGATCTGAAGCTCTCGACCTTGACCTCTCTAAGTGGCTTCAAGCATTTGTTAAGTTCCTGGCAAAAACCAATGCAGACATGTTCCTGTTTTTAGTTTTCTACACCGCCTTACAATCTGTTTTTTTGCTACTTTTCCTTTTGATTGTCCTTTTGGTTGCCATTTTATTTTAACTTGTTAAAATATATATATATATATTTAAATCTGTATGCATCTTTTATGATTGTCTGTTGCTGTCTACTGTTATCATTACTCATTGTTAAAAATTCAGGTCTCTCTTATAAATGAGTTCCTGAGGCTCAATGAGATTAACCTGTATAAATAAAGGTTGAAGGAATTTGACAAATATTTGTCAGAAAAAGAGGTTTTTGTTCAAAATAATTACAAAGTCTCAGATCCTCAAGAAACTAAAATGATTCAAGTCTATGATAAATTTTATTAGGACTGCCTACAGGCTGGACAGTTGATAAGCATTCAATATTTAATATTTTATGAAGATGTGTCAATACGGTTAATTCAATAAATAAATAAATAAATGAGAACATGGATGTTTGCCCTACCTGATCTTGACTTTCTTTGGCTTGAAGTCAGCAGCATTTGCTCCGGTCTCGTTGCTTGGTGTGAAGTTTAAAGTTGTAGGAGGAATGGAGCCACATGCTCACTTTTAACCACACACACACCCAACACACACTCACACATCCCGAGTCAGCCTTGCGTCAAGGAGGGAGGTGGTGGTCGTTCAGTGCGCTGCAAACATCTGGTTTGTTTAAGTCTTTTCCATGGCAACTTGGAGCCACGCTCTGAACAAATCTACCACACAAAAAGAAATACTATTGTTTTAGGATTTTAGGCCTAATTTCAAGCATACAAATTATACAAATGACTTGTTCCATTTATTTATTGATGCACTGTCTGATTCTGTGCGTTTTTGCCCTTTAAAATTGTTTATTAAAATTTTAACTTATACATCTTTGACGTTTTAATAAAGATAAAATGATAAAATATTCAAAGTAAACTTAGCCTGCCACAGATTCAAGGTTCAAGGGTCTTAACTGTCATTCTCATCACATGTGGTAAAATGGACTGTACTTACATAGCGCCTTTCTACCTTATTTCAAGATACTCAAAGTGCTTTACACTACAATCTGTGTCCTCATCTAGCCAGTCATACAGCACTCTACTAGATCTCTACAAAGCTAATTGAACAAATCATTCTAAAGAGACTAATCAGAGCTTTA